TGTCCGGGAGAAGGCCAAGGGAACTGAGGTCATTCTCACCGAAGAGTTGCCGCCTAAAAGTATATTATTTTTCCAGACAATATAAAAGTACAGTATATTAAGTCAAAAATAGTCTGACTGACTATTTAATGGTAAATGGCAAATGATAATTAGAGTCTTCCCGGGACAAATCACAGCTGCAAGCGATTGCAGGTGATTTATCAGACGCTATACAATGACCGTAAACCACCTGTGTGTTTACTCCAAGAGCCATTCAAAACGTCATGAGACTAAATACCCAAAACGGGAAAAGTTTTAGATGGGTTGACTAGCTTATTTCCCACTAATTATTCAATTAAAATTAAGTAGAACAACGTAACATTTCTCTCTAGTGTTTCGTTTTGTGTGAATCAGAAGGTTATATTTAACTTTCTGCAACACTTTGGTATAATATCAATTTTTACGTGCCCGCACACATTTATAAATCTTTTCTAGGTAACTACGGCTCCCGTAAGCGCTGTATATAATTGAAAGTCCTTGTCCCCAAAATGTGCAGAAGTCACGTGTCATGGGAAGTTGTTCCGAGCAAAAGTTGTAGTTTTTTTCAAATTTCCGACGACAGTCAGTCCTTTCTGAGGCAGATTTTAGATACTGCCATACTCATCCGTTGTAACTTTGCCAATCTCCAGTGCCCGACAAGCCTATAAAGTTTTCCTCAAAACAACGAGATGTGTACTAAGTGCACGTGAGTGCAGTATATTTACAATCACTGCAACTGCCAGGAAGTAGTCCTGAAACACCTTAAAGTGTTTTTTCTCAGACTTTTAATCCCGATGCACATCAGTCTTCAGGTGTGACAGGGTTTTTCTCCTTTCAATGACTGTTCAACCTTCACTTCGGGGAAAGTGTTCGGCTGTCAGATGTTCTCAAGTCTCCACCCAACTCATGTCTCGCCTGCTCGAAATGTCAGAAAACGCTTATCACTGTCATTATTTATAGGAAAATGCCAATGGAATTTTTGGAGAGGTTTTTTGTAAAAGCGAAAGTATGCAGAACCTTTTTTGGCGAAAAGCCAAATGCAAGTTAACTGTGCTTGTCACAGCTTCCGACGCGACAATGACGTACGTTTAAACTCCTGCGTTCTATCATCGCATTCCTTCTTACGTCTATCTGTGCCGTCTTTGCTCACCTACCATCTTATTCATGGGTCAACCCCACCCAGTTTCTTGATTCTTTGACTTAAAATGTAACTACATATTTCACAGTTTTTACATATATTAGAAACTCGAAATCATTTTGGATGCAACGCATCCGTCAATTTTGATAAATAGAAGTTCTGTTGATAAGATATGGGGATGTAGCGGCACCCGATGGACACAATACTGTTGACCTCTTGGTTATTTTGAGTTGCTGTGATTACGTCGGCATGGTGTTGCTGTGCGTTGCGGTGTATATTCTGTTGGGGTTAGGATTAGGATTAAGGGTTTGGGGCCTAGGGTTAGGGCGTAGGGTTGGGGTTAGGGCAGCTGTTTCTTGACCATTCAAAGTATAACCACGCATTCCCGCTAGTTTTTCTTTTGAATACAATTATTTGACCTCGTCGCCCGTACGTTCTCCAGCCCCAGCTGGACAAACACCTACTGCCACTGGTCTCGTTTTACAGGCTGCTGGGGCTTGTTTACCTCAGGTGCGGTTACCTACCCATGTCTGACCGTTCTTTTCCACAAGGGTTTTTTAACAATATAACCTGTGATTTCTAATGTCATACAACAATTACTCCAAACATAGTATGCCACTCAGATTTCAGAACTCACCTTTCCGGTCTTAACCTACTGATGAATTTTACAATGAGTAAGCCTTCACTTTAACTTCGAGAGCCGTAAACAACTACCTCCGTTGATACCACGCGAAAGTAACTTTCATTTTAACCCGTTACGTGGAACGTTTAGGAGAGGCGCCAAAAATGAGAATTTAAAAATTTCCCTTAGCAAATTAGTAGGCCTAAATTGTCGAGGTTTGATCCAATACTAACCTCTGCCATGCGTAGTCGTACCAGCGGAGAACCCGAGTTCGGAGACCTTTAGGGACTTTATGAGTGTTCATGTAATATTTCGCGTTATCCTATATAAAAAGACAGAAGAAAACAGAAATTAACTTTTGCTGACGAAAAATCTCGTTTTATCTGTTAATCGATAGAAGAAAAGAATGCTTACTATAGGCGAACTGTCCAGTTTCAGTGAAGCGTATGGGAATTTGCAACTGCATGCGTTAATTCAGATCACATCCAATTTCAAGTATCGAACATTTTGTACTTAACCGTTCTGCGCTTTTCAAAACTACAATGCCGTCAAGATCGCCGCCCACAGTTATTGACTTTAGTATCCAATCATCTAATTATACTTTCAGCACTTTAGACTATACAGATAGAAGAGATAGGTGAGGTAAAATGCGAGACTTTCAACACAATCTGTTTAAATTTCCTATAAAATTTGTAAAGGGATGGAAAGCACTTATTTATGTCAAAAGTTGGTTGGATGTGGTTATGTAGTCCCACCTGAAGTAGACAGACTCCAGTCACCTCAAATACGGGACTGGTGGTAATAGAGGTTTTTACACGTGGGGCCGGGGAACGCATAAGCGACGAGGTCAATTAGTTGTATGTAAAGGAAAAGTGATTGGGAATGCGCGGTTGTACTTTGAATGGTTGAGAAATAGTTGCGCTAACTCCTAACCCTATCTCCTATCTATGACCCCTGAGCCTAGCCCCTAACGATAATCCATAACCCTAACCCCTAACCATAGTCCTTAATCCCTAACCAATACCCCTAACCCTTAACTCCAACCCCAACAGTATTGTGTCCATCAGGCGGGCCTACATAACCGCATCGCCCCCAAACGTTAAATGCCAATTTCAAAGATATGGTACACTTTCGCGGCTCGTAGCATCAGGTTTCTTCTGCAAATTTCCCCGCATTTGCCGGTTGCTTCAACTCAACAAAATGATCTACTGGAAGCGCATCAAAAACAAATGAAAACGAGGTAGTGGAGATCTACCTCGAATAAAAAAGACTACTTCACTTCGTCATACAAGCAGGTTTAAAATCACCCTAGAAAGTGGAGGCAAATGCCCAGGTAATATTAGTCATCGAAACAACTCTGCTATGCGCTTAACCATTAATCTTCCCTCCCCCTCTTCAGGCCTCTGACAGAACTAGACTCCGACCCCTGACCTCCGAACGCCCTCAACCCTCTCCCCCCTTACTTATTGCTTATTAGTTGTCTAACTTTTGCCAATCCACCCGCCATTTTATTACTGCTCGGGCCTGATGAGGAATGGTCGAAGGCGTACGTCTGCTGGACTTGACTTGTTAAATGTTCACATGGGTGTCATTGCTCAATTTAATCTTCCGTCCAAACGTTTCTGGCGTTTGACGCATAAAGCCTGATCTACAAATTTTGGACAACAGGAACTGCCGAGTTTAATTTCTTACATTAATTGCAAGGCATCTTTCGGCATAAAAAGTCGGAATCATCAGCTAAACATTAAGTATACCTCTTTCCTCTGAAAACAATCTTCAAGGTGAAGTTGTAGTCAACCATATCTGACAAAACAAACTCCTTTGCTACCGGCCGACCAACAAACACCGATGTTGCTGATTCTGAGCTCAGCTGTGTAACCGCAAAATTAAATTCCAGTCAGAACGCTCTTCAGGTACTAGTTTCAGATGATCGAAAGTTTACTAAGAAAGAAGAAAAATTATTATCGACAAACTTACCAAGATCTGTTCAAAGGAGAGTCGAGCCGCATTCCGGTTGTTTATTATGTTTCCAACCTGGCCTTAAATAAAAGTGGAATTTAGAAAATGAGGTCAGCCACGCAGGTAAAAGCAAATATTTACAACCTAAGGACCCATTGCCACCCGCTGAAACCTCAGCAGTCATCCACAAAATAAATTGCAATGACGGCGACTGCAACTATGTGGGCGAAACCGGGCGGAAGTTGCAAACTCGCCTACAAGAACACAAATCGGCCACTCGGAGGTTAGACCCTAACTCTCAACTAGCAACACACGTTGGGGAAACGGGGCATACTTTTGACCTCCAGAGGGCTACCATGGTAGGCCGAGGCAACACAAAAACAGAACGGCTAATTCTCGAGGCG